AAGCGGAGCGGGTGGACCGTTACGTCGGAGGGCTGAAGCCGGACATCTCGCACGAAATCATGCTACGCGGACTCTCGAATTTCAACGAGATTCTCGCGCTCGCCGAGAAAATCGACATTTTACGCCGCCCGAGACCGGGGTCCTACTACGGACATCGCCCTCGGGGACCAATCGAGCACGCCACTGTACACGCTGTTGCGACGAACGCAGCTGCCGCGCCGTTTAAGGGGCGCTGCTTCGCTTGCAATAGGCCGGGCCATCGTAAGAGTGAGTGCCCAGAGGAGCTGAGGCGCCGCGGAGCAGAGCAGGGGAGGGAGTCTCTAAGGCAGGGAAACGCCAGCAGTCAGTAGGAATCGGGCCAACTACTGACGAGACTGCCTGCTCGCCCAACCACACCGACCCTTACCGAGTCACAGTACCGATTCACGCTATCGATCGGGCTCGGATGAATAAGGAGGGTACAGCGACGGATTGCCCAGTACTGATTCACGGGAAAGTACAGGGAGCAGCAGTGAAAATCTTTATAGATGGAGGAGCAAGCCACAGCTTAGTTAATACCGCAACCGCACGGAAGCTACAACTGACACTTAGTCGGTGTTTACCGGAAATAGATGCACGCTTAGTGGACGGAACGCCGCTGGCCATACGGGAGAAGGTGGAGAAAGTAAAAGTCCGCTGCGAGGGAAATTTTGGGTTCACACAGGAAATGCTCGCGACGACATTGGATGGGCACGACATCTTACTAGGACGTGATTGGCTGCGACGGTATAACCCGCGAATCGACTGGACGACGGGTAGCTGCACTGTGCGAAGTAGCGGTAACTAGATCGTGCTACCTCGCTGGCATTCGCCCGAGTCCTCAACGGTCCACGTCAACGCTATCACGATGAAACGGGCTGTCGCCGCTGGAGCTGACGTGTACGCAGTGGATATAGCATTGGTAGGAGAAGCAGAGCAGCCGAGCGATTTTCAGAAACTGCTGACAGCGGTACCGCCCGAACTGCAGGAGCTATTGAAACGGTACCCGGGGATTTTTCCCGACGACTTACCGGAGGGACTGCCACCTCAGCGAGCACACGACCACCGCATAGAGTTAGAACCCGGGGCACAGCCAACCGTACAGCGACAGTTCCGACTGACACAGCCCGAGCTCGATGAGTTGAGGAAGCAGTTAGACTACTTGTTAGAGAAAAATTTCATCCGACCGAGCTCGTCACCATTCGCCGCCCCGATACTGTTCACACCGAAAAAAGACGGGGGATTTCGCATGTGCATCGATTATAGAGCACTGAACCGGGTAACAGTCAAGTCGCGATACCCCATTCCCCGCGCTGACGAACTGATCGACCAGCTGCGAACAGCACGGGTTTTTTCGAAAATAGATTTACGGGGAGGTTACCACCAGATTCGGGTCGAACCATCGGACTGCGTAAAAACAGCATTTAGAATTAGGTATGGGTCATTCGAGTACACCGTGATGCCATTCGGTCTGACCAACGCACCGGCGACTTTTCAGATGACCATGAACGAGGCGTTTAGGCCGCTCTTAGATAAATGCGTGATAGTTTACCTCGACGACATCCTAGTTTACAGTCGGGATAAGCAGCAGCACTTAGCAGATCTGGAAGCAGTATTTAAGGTTTTAGACGAACACAGATTACTGACCAAGGGTTCCAAGTGCGAGTTCTTCCAAAATAGGTTAGATTTTTTGGGGCACATTATTTCGGAGGCTGGAGTTGAAATCGACCCCAAGAAACTGGACACGGTAAAAGCGTGGCACCCCCCGACGAACATCACGGAGCTGCAGAGTTTTTTAGGGTTCGTTAATTATGTGCGTCGGTTCGTCCCCGATATGGCACGATTAACTGCCCCACTGACGGATTTACTGCGGAAGGGGGTCATTTTTACGTGGGGGGAGAAAGAGCATGCTGCCTTCTCTGCCCTGAAACATGTTCTCTGTTCACCGCCCGTACTACGCATCGCTGACCCACGCCGCCCATTCGAAGTAGTTACAGACGCAAGCGACATCGCCATTGGAGCCGTACTGCTACAGGATTTCGGCAACGGTTTACAGCCCATCGCATACGAGTCACGAAAACTGCATCCGCCCGAGAAGAATTACCCGATACACGACCGCGAAATGCTCGCGATCGTGCATGCATTCAAGGTTTGGCGCTGTTACTTGACCGGCGCTGACGTGACAGTACGGACAGATCATAAATCACTACAGTATCTCCGCGCACAGCCCCACCTCAACCCACGACAGATTCGCTGGCTCGATTTCCTCGAGTCAAACTTCCATTACACAGTCACCTACAAAAAAGGGGCATCGAACATCGCCGACGCATTGACCCGCCCCACTGCCCAGATCCATGCAATACTACTCGCCCAGACCAGCCCACTACTGACAGGCCTATTTACCCACGGGTACCAAACGGATCCATTCTTCACAGGAGGACATTCGCAACAGTTCACAGCAGCAAAGGGAGTCTATTACGTAAAAGCCGGGACCGACCGCATCTGGGTACCAGGGTACACACTGCTACGGGAATTACTGTTACAGGAGGCACACGACGGAGTTACCTCAGGACGTTTCGGGGTAGAAAAAACACGGCAGCAGCTGCAGCGGTATTATTACTGGCCCGAAATGTTGACCGACGTTCAACGACACGTGGCATCGTGTCCCACTTGCCAGATCATGAAGTCATCACGGAAGCGGCCGGCAGGACAGTTGCAGCCGATACCACCCCCAGAGCGTGCTTGGCAGCAGGTGACGATGGACTTCGTCACGGGGTTACCGGCCGGAGCAAGTGGAAATGACGCGATCCTGGTCGCCGTCGATCGACTGACGAAAATGGCACACTTCGCAGCCTGCAAAAAATCAATCACAGCCGAAGAAACAGCCCGCCTCTTCATCTCTACCGTCGTTCGACCGCACGGGATACCAGCATCGATCATCAGCGACAGAGACACGAAATTCACCAGCAACTTCTGGCGGAACCTGTGGCAGCAGTTCGGCACGCGACTACAGTTTAGTTCATCATATCACCCCGAAACCGACGGACAGACAGAACGGACAAATCAGACCATGGAACAGCTCATCCGGGCCACGTGCGACGACCCGACCACGTGGGAACAACAACTGCCACTCATCGAATTCGCGTACAACAACTCGCCATCCGCCACGACCCAACAGTCACCATTTTACCTGAACTACGGACAAGACCCCACAGTACCCATGACCCCGAATCCCGACAACCCAGTCCCACGCGCGCAACAGTTCGCAGAAATACTGCAAGCAGCACGGGCCCGAGCAGCAGAAGCAATAAAAAAATCAAACATCATCGCTAAACGCAACGCTGACCGCCACCGCCGACCTGTCACTTACCAGCCAGACGACCTAGTTTTACTCGACACTCAAAACCTCCGCCTGCCCATCACCCCAAAACTCCGCCCCCGATATTGCGGGCCATTTCGCATCAGCCACATGATCACACCCGTCACCGCCCATCTCCTCCTCCCTGCTGACTGGTACGTCAGCCCGTCATTCCACGTCAGCTTACTTCGCCCATACGTACCATCCACCAGCCAACTGCCCCGCAACCGCCCCGCCAGCATGACACGACCACCGACTGAGCCATCGAGTACGTGACCCACGAGGAGCTCGCAGAATCGAATTTCTGATCTGCTGGAAGGATCGCACGCCCACCGAAGACAACTGGGTCCCCCTGGATAGAATTGAGGATCACCCTGTCCTCACTGAGTATCTGCGAAGCCGAAACTTCCGAGATGTACACGCGCTCTCGTAAGAAGGGCCTCCTTGGGGAGGGGGGTAGTGTAAGGAAAACCCCTTTTCCTTACTTCGCGTCCCTGCTCAGCGCGTACACCATTGTTCCCGCCAGCAGCACCCAACAGTAATCCGTTACCACTCGCGACACCCGCTTCGACACCATTCCCGCCGCCGTTCACGGCGCGACCCAGCCTCACGGTTCGGTTGGTAACCCGCGCTCCGGACCTCTGCCTCGACATCTCCCAACCTCGGCACTAGGCCCGTCGCGCACCCCACTTTTCACACATTACCGTTACCACTGTAGTTTCGCTATATATTCTTCGCTCATGCCTTCGCTCATTGTACTCTTGCTTCGATAGTGCAAATCTCGCTCGTTCATTCAATTGCACTCGTAACAGTAAATAGTCATACTACATTTTCTCTGGAATCCTTAGCTAGATGTTAGTAGGACTTTAGAACTACCGAGCTTGGCCATGTGATTGTTACGAATCTGTGATTCAAGCAAGCACCCCTCGGATGCGCGGCGAACGATTGGGTCATCTCACTTCCCCCAAGACTTCTCGCAACACTATATCGAAAGCTCAAAACTTGAGGAAGCCACGCGGCTCTACCTCAATGGCCAACTTCGTCCCCGAACCCTTGGCGACCCTTGGCGACCAAGGGGCGACACGTTCCAATAAAGCAAGGGTGAACGAACCGCGACTTCAAAATCACGCGACGCGATACGATGTGACGGGGTGGTCAAATTTCGCAGGTGGGGTTGGGTTGTGCTCTGCCCTGCTGTAATCCCTTCTATGCTTACCGAAAGCTCCCCCCCACCCTCCTCTCTTCCCTTTCCCTCTTCCTCCCCTCACTGCAACAAATCGCCCCTTACCAGAATCCTCTCGCCTATCCGACAGTTCCGAGCCGCCTGTCTTGAGCGATTCCGGTCAGTCATGCTCCCCATGCTTGAGTAAAAGGCTTCATTTGCAATATTCACCTCATTCTGTCAATCGTTTCCATCCAAACAGCGGTTTCCAGTTGCCAATAGAGCTCACCCAAGGACCTCCTCATACGCCGAGAATTTATAAGTTAGCTGCGCGCTAGTACTGCCTAATTTAGCACCATCACCTGGCAATCATACCAGTCGCCATCATCTCGTAGACTCCAGCGGGCATCGCATAGACGATCTTAGCGACGCATCTAGCCTCCGTCGCACGCCGGCGACACCATGGCGAAGCAGAAGAAATCCCTCAAGGGATCCGTCGCCATCCTCGCTATGAACTTCCTCCGTTTCCTCAACATGATGCTCATCGTCGGCGGCGCCGCCACCATCGTCTTGGTCTTCCTCATCCAGTCGCCGCCCACTTTCCCCGCCGGCTGGGGATTTTTCTTCCTCAGCATCCTCGTTATCCTCTCCGGTCTCTTCGGCACGATCGCGTCTGGGCAGGTCGGGTGCTTCGAGTGCCATCTCTTCTGCCTCTTTATAAGCGCCGCGGGGCTGTGCGCGTCGACGCTGATGATCTTCCTCCGTTTCAAGGACGTCGTACTCTCGATGAAACCGAACGCCGATCCGTACGCGATGTACGACGCGGAGCAGTACGTGCGCATCCTCGGGGCGCTTTATTTCTTCATCTTCATGACGCAGATGGTTATTCTCATGCTCGGCTGCACTGTACACCACTTCGGCCTTATAGAGCATAACGAGGACCTCGATGCGCTGAAATCCGCGCGCGAGATGGCGCGCTCCGAGGAGATTCACCGGCGGCCGAAGATCGACGGCTGGGTGCCCCACAAGCTGACGGAGAAGATGAAGCACAAGTACCGACAATGGACGCACAGAAGCGCCGCGGACGAGGAGGAAGAAGAGGCAATGGAGTTCGATATGGAGTCGAGCGCTAGTAGCCACATGCCGTCCAGTCCCCCGCCCCCGTACCCTGGAGTGTCTACTTACCCTCCCGCGTAACTATTCTCGCGTGTTCCAGCCAGCTTTCAACCGTGTCAGCTCACCCTCCTGCCGTCCTGCTCATTTGGAATGCTTTTAGGTGCAGCAGTGTTTTGGCCGCTTCCACTTACCTTACCCTTCGTGTGATCGCTTCGAGCAGCAATTAGTGTCGAATTGACCTGCTTGTTCTGTCCACGCTTGGTGACAATCCTGTGGAGAGAGGAGAATATGGACTAGGAAGTATTTAGAATATCCTAGTATTTGTTACTAGTGAAGCTACTTGTATTTTACCGAGCCCCTAATAAGAATTTTGGATACAGAGCTTGTAGATTATAATTAATTATAGAGCTGTTTGCACTATCTACCAGGACCTGGACATCATAACAAACTGAATTGTTATGGTTATAACAATGCTGTTGAAAATGGATGATACTCCACCCTTTCAGGATGTACATAGAACTACTGCCTCACATCGTCCATCATACGGCCGCCAACAAAGGACGAAGAGCCATGGAAGAAGGGCCAACAGGACAGCAGACTTTGCACTCATTTCGGGAGACCTCATTCAGGAACTTTCCTGTTCAGCTGTTCAACAACTACCGTACCAAACTATGACAAGCATGCTGAGGTTTCTACACCTAGCTGCAATTTCAGCATGTGATTTCTTTCTTCAAGCTGGAATTTACACACAGCACAAGTGCTTATGTCACAACACAGCTACCTAGTCTTACTAGCCTCACAAGCCTTGCTCTGGGAGGTTTAACGTCCTTCCCCTACCTTGCTCTGGGAGGTTCAACGTCCTTCCCATGCCTTGCTCTGCCCCCATTCAAAGGGGGCTCATCCTCCCTCCACTTCCCTCCATTGCATCACCTCTCCCCACCACCAACAGTAGCAGTGAGGGGGGGTTGAAACCACCTGAGTAAGGAGAGGACAAGGCAAGGGAAGGAGGCTGAACCCCCCAAAGCAAGGCGAGTGAGAGGCAAGAGAGAGGGGTTGAAACCCCCAGGTTAAGGCAAGCCAACGTCAGAGGAGGGGGGTTCCTCTGACCCTAGCTTGCCTTAACCCAGGGGCTTCAACCCCCCTCCCTCCCCCCTGCCCCTCACAAGCCTTGCCCTGAAAGGTTCAGAATCCCTCCCCTGCCTTGCCCTCCCATCACTCAGGGGGGTTCACCCCCCCTCCACCCCACCACCACCACCCTCCACCACTCTCCACCAGCACTCTCCACAACTCTCCACCACCACGCCTGAGTGGGGCTAAGAGGAGACCCTGAGAGCTGAAGCCTCACCGACGTGGCAAGAGGGGAGCCACACCAGACCCCCGGCCGCAGGGTCTGGTGATCGTCCATTATGCCTTAAACGTGCGGCTCTTGGCATCCAGTCCCAAGGCCCCCCCCCCAACCACCACTCTCCACCCACCACCAACCGCCACCAACCACCACAGCCACCACCACCACCACTCGCCACCACCGCCACCACCAACACTCGCCACCACCACCATCACTCGCCACCACCACCAATACTCGCCACCACCACCATCACTCGCCACCACCACCATCACTCGCCACCACCACCATCACTCGCCACCACCACCAACACTCGCCACCACCACCATCACTCGCCACCACCACCATCACTCGCCACCACCACCATCACTCGCCACCACCACCATCACTCGCCACCACCACCATCACTCGCCACCATCACCATCACTCGCCACCACCACCATCACTCGCCACCACCACCATCACTCGCCACCACCACCACCACTCGCCACCATCACTCGCCACCATCACAGCACCCTCCAGCAGCCACCAGCAGCGTCCACCACAGCGGATGAACCTGCTGGGGCGAGGAGGGGGGTGCACATAAGGCAGTTAGTAGCTGACGTTGGAGAGTAATCAAAGAATTGAATGCAGCAGTGATGAAAGGATCGAGTGCAGCAGTGCTGAAAGCAAGGATGCAAATAGCAGAAGAGAACAAAAGCCTCAAAGAGAAGGGCGAGTGTGGGTACTTATTGCGTTGAGCAGAGGTGCAGCTGAGCTAAGCAGTGTGCAGCCGCTGCGCTCCCCCCCCCCGCATGCCTCTGCTCCCTCTGGCGCCCTGGGGGTTGACGAAGGAGGAGGTTAGGAGGGAGGGCGGGAGGGAGTGAGTGGAAACTGCAGACGCTGTTGCTGACAAGTCGAGAGTGCAGACGAAGCAGCATGCCATTCACAACCTAGCCAACTGTAGCACACCCAAGGGAGAGGGGGGGACCTGAACCTCAAAACACCATACCAAGGGGGACCTGGATAAGTTTTGCACCTGCACTGGGGGACCTGGTGACCTACACCTAGAAATAAACAAGGGGAGCTTGGGTGTGCCACAGACAGCAGCGACTTAGGAAGGCGAAGGATAAACAAGGCACGGATGCAAAACAAAAAGCAGGAGGGAGAGGCTGGTGGAGGGATACTCCCTCTGCTGCTCCCTCTGCTGCTCCCTCTGCTGCTCCCTCTGCTGCTCCCTCTGCTGCTCCCTCTGCTGCTCCCTCTGCTGCTCCCTCTACTGCTCCCTCTGCTGCTCCCTCTGCTGCTCCCTCTGCTGCTCCCTCTGCTGCTCCCTCTGCTGCTCCCTCCGCTCCCCACATCTCTTGACGCCCGCAGGACACTGAGAGTCAGGGAGGGGAGGGCGATGGGGAGGGAGGGGGAGGGGGGGGGGGGGGGGGAGGGGTGCGGGCGATAAGAACCAAGAGCAAGAAAGAGGAGTCAGTGGAATCACAAGCAGTCTACTCCACATGCGCATGCAGGAGGGGAAGCACAGCTGCTGTCGCACACCCAAGGGGAGAGGGGGACCTTCACCTTACTGTGCCAGGGGTGAAACTTTTGCACCTACCAAGGGGGGGACCTGGTCTGAACCTTGAGAGAAAAAAAAGGGGAGGGTCTTGGGTGTGCTACAGGCAGCTAGAAAGACGAGGCAGTAAAGCATAAAGCAAGCGAAACGACAAGCGGAAAAACGGTCAAAGGCGAAGGCAGGGCGGGTGGTGAAACGATACTCATGTTTACTGTCTTCGCCCTGTGCTTGCTGGAGAGCCCATCATGACCCGCTGCTACCTCCGCGGCTGCCTCCTTGCCCCACGTCCGCTGAGAAGCATTCAGCAGGCAGAGCAACGGCCCTCGACAGCAGCAGGCACTGAGAGCACGGCGGGGATGGAGGGGGGGGTGGGTGGATGTTAGAATCGCGAGCAAAGGAAGGGGGGGAGATGTCCAGTCCGAGGGGGACAAGTGCGAGTTACTAGAAGTGAATGGAGGAGGGGAGGTATAGCTTCTGTAGCACACCCAAGAAGAGTGAGGGACCTTCACCTTACAGTACCAGGGGTAAAAGTTTTGCACCTACCAAGGGGAGTACCTGACAGTGGACCTTTACCAAAAAAGAAAGGGCTTGAGTGTGCTACAGGCAGCTAGAAAGACGAGGCAGCAGAACAGGAAGCAAGCGAAACGACAAGTGGCAAAAAGGTCAAAGGCGAGGCGAAGTGGGAGGTGAAACGATACTCATCTTTACTCATCGTCACCCCATGCTTGCTGGAGAGCTCAGGACGACCCGCTGCTGCCTCCGCTGCTGGCTCCTCGCCCCACGCCCATTGAGCCGCGTTCGCCAAGCGAAGCGAAGGTCCCCAACATCAGCAGGCGCCGAGAGACAGGGAGGGAAGGGGAGGTGAGGGAGGAGGTGGTTGGGTTGGGCGTTAGAATCACGAGCAATGGGGGGAAGTGCAGCGGAGTCGCATGCAGTCCGGTCCGAGGGAGACTAGCGCGCGTGATCAGATGTGAATAGAGGAGGAGAGGTAAAGCTGCTGTAGCACACCCAAGGGGAGTGGGGAACCTTTGCTTACCGTACCAGGGGCTAAATTTTTTGCACCTACCAAGGGGAGTACTTGACCGTCTGGACCTTTACCGAGAAAAGAAGGGGGGAGGGACTTGGGTGTGCTACAGGCAGCTAGAAAGACGAGGCAGCAAGCATGTGAAACAACGTGCGGAAAAAAATCGAAGAGAGGCGAAGGGAGGGAGGGCGGTGGCGCGATACTCATCTCATCTGTTGGTCCGCGCTGCAGCCCACGACGACCCGCTGCTGCCTCCGCCTCGCGTCCCCACACCCACGCTCCTTGATGCGCCTCAGAGGCTATTGTTTGGAACGAAGGTCATGCAAGCAACGGACCTTGGTGTTGCAAATACGGGAGGGGAGGTACAGCTGCTGCAACACACCCGAGGGGAAACGGGGACCTTTGCCTTACCGTACCAGGGGTAATAAATTTTGCACCTACCTAAGAGGGTACCTTATAGTCTGAACCTTAAAAGAAAAGGGCGGGACTCGGGTGTGCTACAGGCAGCTATAGCGAAATAAAAGGATGCGAAATGATACGCGACAGAACGGCCAAAAGAAAGCGGATACGGTTACTCATCTCGTTGAAAGCTGCGGGGCGTTGACTCGAGTCAACAGCTGGCGTTGACTGAAGGCGGCAGCAGGCGCGTTGAGCGAGAGCGGAGAGTCGCGCGTTGACTTCAAATCGACGCGCGTTGGCTCGAAGCAAACGCGCGTTGACTGCAAAACGACGCGCATCTTGGCTTGCTCGTCTCATGCGCGAATTCCAGGCGAGCCTGCAAGCGACGACAGGAACAAAACGGCATTAGCAAGCGTCCTTGAAAAACTAAATAAATAAAACGAAACGCGTGCTAAGAGGGCCTATTCGTCGCCCATTTCCATCGATCCTTTGCTTACCTTTCAAATCTCGCTCGTTTTATGTCCGGTATTATCATTCTTTGCAGATCTTGAGCTGTCATGTCTTGAGACAATGTCGATCTTAGTTGGACCTGCACGGATAAACCGAAAGGTCAGAATAAATCGATAATGGAAATAGCGAATTTCGACTATGTACAGTTTCAGAAATGAGAAAAACCAGAAACAACTAATACTTACACATGAAGTCGCTGCGGAAAAGTTCTTCAGCTCGCGAAGCTTTCGCCGCGACGATACAGATCGTTTCGGCAGTAGCAACGCACGATCGCGTCTCGTTGAAAGGAAGCTGATGCTCCAATGTGCTCCTATCTGTTCCCGGGCGTTTCGTCACGTTCAGAAATTTCTACCGAGGAACCGACGGACTGAAGGTTGAACGAAAATTTTGAAGAATGGAGCCTCAATGTGGTCTCACGACTGAATGAAAATTCTGGCAACGGAGAGTGAATGAGGACGAAGGGGCGAATATGCGGAGGTGGACGGTTGGGAATGAGGCGAGACGGTTGGGAATTGGGAAGCTGACGGGCGAAGGTTGGATGGGAGGAGATTGGGGTATGAACCGAGCCGCGAAAGGGGTAAGCTCAACGCATCTAAAATTCGAACGAACGAACGTCACTGGCGCCAACGTGAGCCAGAACCGTTGGGGACAAGAATCATGTAAAACGCTATCCGAACCGCTTATTGCTAAAACAAGAGTTTTGAAACCCGCTTTATCGCCGCCTAAGCGATAAGGTTGGGCGACGCGCACTGGCATGGAGCTGAACGCCAGTCTCAGGGACCACCAAACCCTAGCTTCAGCCTGGAAGGCAGAAATGAAGTTGAATTCCTCAGCCGATGGTGTCAGGGGATTTGGGCCGCTTCATGCAACTCCCGGGTGCTGTTCGCCAGCAAATCGTAATTTGAACAGAAAAAGATGGCATCGACATCGCGACCGCATCTGGAAACGGAGGCGGAACCCTCCTCCGAGGTTTGGGCCTAATGCCGCCCGTGAAACTTCTCACGCCCGAAAGGAGAAATTACGCCGCGTGGGGAACCTCCGTCCCCACCTTCCCCCCAATGGCGCGAAACTTTAGCCTCACTGACCCTTGTGCTGCCCGATGACCAAAAATTGCTCGACGTGGGTAAAAACGCAAATAAAACCCAACCCTGCACAAACACAACCCTTCATAGGTGTGTTTGGGAGGGGAAAAATGGGGGGTATTCGACCCCTCCTTTGTCAAACAAATGGCTCGTTCAGAGGTTTCCCCCTGAACGGCAATGCGACGGCTGTGCCATCGCTGTGTTTTGAAAAACGGGGCATGGCGATGGCATGGCTTGGGGATGGAATTTTTCCTGGGGACGAAGTTGCGTCCCCGCTTCCATATGCCGTCTGGCAGTTCGATTTGGTGGACAAATGGGGGCGTTCGCCAGACACCCACTTTGATTGTTGGTTTGGACGGTAGGGGAGGCTCGGCGCCTTTTTTACGGGCTGACCAGGCTGACAGAGGTAAACGAACCCTAACTGACGGGATCAGGAAGGCGAGACCCACCTTCCTGATCCCGTCGTTATCCCGTGGTTTTTTGCTTCACAGGTGCTGGAGAACAGCCCCCCGCTGTTATGTTCGAGTGGTGCAGTTCTGGGCCCAGTTCGGTAGGCATTATGGCCATTTTCGCCATTATGGGCATTTTTAACGGGCCCCCAAAAAATGGCGCTTGGGCATTTCCAGAAACAACTTCGAAACTGGACTGTAGCTGCAGTACACCTTCGGGAAAATGGTATGAGTGTTCGGTTGGCATTAATTGGGTGTAGATTGATGGCATCAATCGAGATTCCGTGTTTCGCAGAAGGTGCTCGAAAGTTGCCTTGATGGATCGTGTCCTAATGTGATTGGCTGGCATATTTGACCAGTCACTTTTGATTGCCCCGAATCACTGATACCCCGCATGGTGCGGGGCCTCGAGGCCGCATGGTGCGGCGGATCAGAAAATGGGCACTTTGCCAGAGAAACTGGGTTCGTGGAAGATTCGGGCAGTTGAAAACGCATGCAAAAAAAAGGGTGTTCGGGAGGCATTCCATTATTGTCTGGCTCGGCGATGATCCGCTTATATCGAGCCAAGATAACCCTTCACGCGCTTATCAAAGAAAGTTCCAGGGTGGTCGGTTTACTGTAGCCCATCCGCCGAGGCCCCTTTTTTTAAGCCTACCGAACTGGGCCCTGGAGGATGTTTCCCAGAAACGAAAGTGTTTCGAATGGCTTTCTTAGAGCTTCCCCTTCATCGAACAGATACTTCTTGAATAAATTTTCCAGGGCGTCCCAGTAGAGTTTTGGAGTTCAATCTCCATGGAAAATCCTAAAAAGCGTACAACAGATGGCATATTTAGAACGTGTCTCAAAATACGCGAGTCCACGTGGGTCCGACGCGGACCCGACGGACCAGCTCGAGAACTAGCGCGTGAACCAGCGGCGGATTGGACCAGGATTCGGGATTAAATTCTCGTTATAGCGTTCGAATGGCACTACAACGGTGCCTTTTGTCAAACATTATATGTGTTATAGTTTGTAGGCTACAGTGGGTTAGCCTCTAGGGGGTACATGGCTCTAGTGTTTTGTACTTGTACTCTGATTCCTTTCTAGTCCAATCACTTCTTCTTTCTAACATGGTATTAAGAGCGAAGGTTTAGACCTAGGATCGCTTACCTAAGGGCCCACCGTTCCGCTAGAAGCGCCCTCGAGCGCCTTAATGCATTAGCGCCCTCGAGCGCCTCTCTCCTAGTGCGCCCTCGTGCGCCTCTCTTTCTCCTGCTGCCCGTGCGCAGCTCGCTAGTGCCGCGCGCGGCCTTTTTTTTTAGCGCGCGTAGCCCACTAGCAGCCCGCGCGCGGCCTTTTCTGCGCGCGCGCCGACCGTTAGCCGCCCGCACGACCAGCGCCGCCCACGAGCAGCCCGCTAGCCGCCCGTCGACTGGCCCTCCTGGCCGTCCAGAGCGTAGCAGCCCCGCGTGTAGGCCGCCGCGTCACCCGTGTAGGCCGCCGCGTAACCCGTGTAGGCCGCCGCGTCACCCGTGTAGGCCGCCGCGTCACCCGTGTAGGCCGCCGCGTCACCCGTGTAGGCCGCCGCGTCACCCGTGTAGGCCGCCGCGTCACCCGTGTAGGCCGCCGCGTCACCCGTGTAGGCCGCCGCGTCACCCGTGTAGGCCGCCGCGTCACCCGTGTAGGTCGCCTCCCACGCGCGACTGCAGCCCACCCACAGCTGCGACCCGCCCGCTACAGCCACCCACGTGCAGGCCCACCGTCGCGCCGTGCCGCGTAGTCCGAATCGAGCCGCGCCGCCCGAACCGCGCCGCGCCGCCCTACTGTGCCCCACCAACTACTACTACTGCTACTCCTGCTACTGCTACTGCTACTTCTACTACTGCTGCTGCTGCAACTATGGCTAGCCCTGCTGTGCTAGTTTTCGATGCTGAGGGCCGCCCACTGAAGTTTGAGACCTGACTCGATGACCTGCACCTATTCCTCCAGCTCACTGCCAAGGAGGATATTTCACTGTACGATCACGCGCTAGGCCATGCTGCTGCCCCTGCTCCTACTGCTGACAGTACTGCCCGTTCACAGTGGCAGACTCGTGTCGCCCACACACGCTTCGCTATTCGCAACTCCCTGCCGATCGATGAGCGTGAGCACTTTGGCCAGCAGGCACTGTACACTGCTGTAGTGGCACGCTACTCCTCACCTGCCTCTGCTGCGCTAGGCCGTCTCTCGCTCCCCTACCTGTTCCCAGACCTGTCCGCTTTCTCCACAGTCGCTGACCTTATCACGCACCTCCGCACTAGTGAGGCCCGCTTCCGTGCCGCTATGCCCGCTGAGTTCCTTGCCAAGAACCCCCCCCCGCTGTGGCTCACTCTCTACCACCTGGTCACCCGTCTCCCTGACTCTCTTCGTGTGGTCAGGGACCACTTCCTCGCTCGCTGCCCCACTGAGCTCACCGTTGATCTGCTCGAGAAGGAACTGCTTGCAGCCGAGACTAGCATAGTCGCTGTAGGTGCCTCTCGTGGCGACCCCCGCACCCCTTTCTTCGAGGGGTGTTCCCCTCCCCCCCTTCTCCCCTCTGTCGCCTCTGCTGCTGCTGTCGACCTCGTTGGTACTGAGCAGGTCGGGACCGCGTCCGCTCCGAGCTGGCGCCGCAGCGGCAAGGGCAAAGGGGTGGTGGTGACGGCGGGGGAGGCGGTGGTGGGGGCGGTGGCGGCGGTTGGGGTGGTGGCGGGGCTGGAGGGGCTAGTGGCAGCAGTGGGGGTGGTGGCGGCAGCGGCGGAGGAGGTGGCCGGGGTGGGGGCGGTGGTGGTGGTGGCAGTGGACGCGGTGGCGGCAGGGGCGGTGGTGGTCGCGGTGGTGGCGGCGGAGGTGGAGGTCGTGGAGGCACTGGCGGTGGCCATAGCCAACAGCAGACTCCGTCGTCCCAGGAGCTTCGTGAGTGGTACTCTCAGCACGGGAGGGGGGGGGGTGGCCTTAGCTGCACGTACGTCATCCGCACTGGTGACCGCACTGGCCAGACGTGTGGGAGGGCGCACACCACGCAGCGCTGCTTCTCTCGCCTTGACGAAGCCTGGCGCACTCAGTTTCCTGCTGCCACTGAGCTGCCCCGCTGGGCTGACCTGATGAAGAAGAACATTGATATCTATGCTCTTGACTTTGATGTTATTCTCACTGCCATGTATGTGTTGTCTACTAGTGGAGAGAGTGCCCAGTACCTGCGTGTACCGCCCGATCCGGGCATTCGGACCAGTGAGGCTGCCGCTCTAGGTGCTAGCGCGTCTGTTGCCCTAGGTGATGGTGAGGCTGCCGCTCCAGGTGCTTGCGTGTCTGCTGCCCCAGGTGCTGGTGAGGCTGCTGCTCTAGGTGCTTGTGAGTCTGCGCCCTCTGGTACTGAGTCTACTGAGGCACTGCACACCTTCACACTGGACTCAGGTGCTTCTCGCTGTTTCTTTCGTGACCGCACTGCCCTTGAGCAGCTTGCTCGGCCAGTTGCTGTGTCCCTCGCTGACCCCTCTGGGGGTCCGGTCATTGCGACCTCCTCCACTGTCCTCCCTTGTCCTGCGGTTCCGTCGGGCACACTGTCAGGTCTCCACCTCCCCTCGTTCTCTACGAACTTGGTGGCGGGTTGTGCGCTCCAGGACGGGGGTGTCCACCAGTTCACCCCTGCCTACGAGCGCGTGACACACTGCACGTGTGCTCGGACGGGCCGTCACCTGGCCACCTTCACTCGGCAGCCGGGGTCGGACCTGTACACACTGACCACTGAGTCACCTCAGGTAGCTGCGTCTGCGTCTGCGTCAGGTCAGCTGTCGGCCCCCTGCTCGTGTCGCTCTCTGGCGCACGAGACCGTCCTCTGGCACCACCGCCTTGGTCACCCGTCCGTGCAGCGCCTTCGTGGCATGCACAAACGGTACCTTGTCTCTGGTCTTCCCAGGGTTCTACCTCCCCTCCCACCCTCGCCTGCTCCTCCCTGTCTTCCCTGTGTCGAGGGGCGGCAGCGCGCCGCTCCTCACTCCTCCTCGTTTCCCCCGACGACTGCTCCCCTGCAGACGCTCCACATGGACGTGTGGGGCCCAGCCCGCGTTCGTGGACAGGGTCACGAGAGGTACTTCTTGATAGTTGTTGACGACTACTCGCGCTACACCACGGTCTTCCCCTTGCGCACCAAGGGTGAAGTCCCTGGTGTTTTGATCCCTTGGATCCGCGCTGCCCGTCTCCAGCTCAGCGAGAGGTTCCACTCGGACTTTCCTGTTCTGCGTCTGCACTCTGACAGAGGTGGGGAGTTTTCCTCCGACCTCTTGAGGGCCTTCTGTCAGGGGGAGGGCATTGAGCAGTCGTTCACGCTTCCGGCCTCTCCACAGCAGAATGGGGTTGCTGAGCGCCGCATTGGCTTGGTCATGGAGGTCGCCCGTACCTCCTTGATCCATGCGGCTGCCCCCCACTTTCTGTGGCCGTTTGCGGTCCGATACGCTGCGCATCAGCTCAACCTCTGGCCCCGTGTCTCCGTTCCGGAGACTTCGCCAACACTACGTTGGACGGGAGAGGTTGGCGATGCGTCGCGTTTTCGGGTCTGGGGATCTCGAGCTTTTGTTCGCGATACGTCCGCGGACAAGCTCTCCTCCCGCGCTGTTCCTTGTGTCTTCCTTGGCTTTGTCCTGGACGCGTCTGGTTGGCAGTTTTACCACGCCACCTCGCGCCGTGTCCTGCCCTCTCAGGATGTCACTTTTGACGAGTCGGTGCCCTACTACTGCCTCTTCCCCTACCGCACTGCCCCGCTCCCCCCCCCCGCCTCTCTTCCTCGCGCCAGGTGCTGCTGTGGTAGACCCCTCCCCCCTCAGGGTGCCGCTCCCTCAGGTGTGTCCCAGGTAGACCCGGTTGAGCCTGTCGAGGTAGCTGTCGACTCTCGTCCTGCTAGGGGTGCTGAGCCTGAGGGTGCAGAGCCTGGGGGTGCGGAGCCTGGGGTCGCGGAGTCTGGGGGTACTGAGCCTGGGGGTGCGGAGCCTGGAGGTGCGGAGCCTGCGGGTGCTGAGTCTGGGGGTGCTGAGTCTGGGGGTGCTGAGCCTGGGAGTGCTACGTCTGAGGGTACTGAGCCTGAGGGTGCTGTGACTGAGCGTGCTACACCTGGAGGCGCTCTCTCCTCACAGCAGCTGCGTGAGTGGTACTTACAGTACTGCAGCCTCAGGAGGGGTGCTTCTGGAGCTAGGGGTGCTGCTGGAGCTGGTGCTCGTGCTTCCCCTCCTAGGCGGGAGCTGCCCTCTCCCCAGCGGCTCCGAGAGTGGTACGCTCGGCGCTGCAGTCTCCGGAGTGGCGCTACTAGTATTGCGGACCCTGGAGCTGGAGGTGCTGGAGGTGCTGCTGCTGCTGGCGGTGCTGCTGGCGCTGCTGGAGGTGCTGCTGGAGGTGCTGCTGGTGCTGGCGCTGCTGGAGGTGCTACTGGAGGTGCTGCTGCTGCTGGCGCTGCTGGAGGTGCTGCTGGTGCTGGTGCTGTTGGAGCTGCTGGAGGTGCTGCTGGTGCTGGTGCTGTTGGAGCTGCTGGAGGTGCTGCGGGTGCTGGAGCTACTGGAGGCACTACTACTGCTGGTGGTGCTGCTGGAGCTGCTGGAGGTGCTGCTGGTGCTGCTGGAGCTGCTGGAGGTGCTGCTGGTGCTGGAGCTGCTGGAGGCACTGCTGCTGCTGGCGGTGCCGCTGGAGCTGCTGGAGGTGCTGGTGGAGCTGCTGGAGGTGCTGGTGCTGGTGCTGCTGGAGCCGCTGGTCCTGGAGGTGCTCGTACTGGAGGTACTGGAGCTGCTGGGACTGGAGCTGCTGAGAGGGTTGGAGCTGGAGGTGCTGAGCGGCCGCGGCCGTACTACGTTCCGCTCCTTCAGCAGGTTCTTGGTCTCCCGCCCTCTACTGGTCCTACTCCTCCCCTACTGAGTCCACCACCTGTCCAGTCGCAGTCACAGTTACAGACTGCCTCTCCGCTGCCTACTCCTTCTCCTTACACTGCACCGACGGGTAGTCTTACGGAGCGTCGTGAGCCTGAGTCTCGTCCTCCGTCGCCTGAGTCTAGTTCAGAGTCGCCTGAGTCGCGTCCAGAGTCGCCTGTCCGCGCTGTCCGCGCTGGTCGTCGTGCTCCGCGTCAGTGTCCTCCTCCTGTACTTGGCACTCACTATATGACTCTGCGTCCTTCCACTGCTCCACAGCGTGTCCCTCTGCCGTCTCCTCCTGCGTCCTCTCTTCCTGACGTTGCTGACCCGCCGTCAGACCTTGCTCTTTCTGCCAGTCCTACAGTCACGCGTCTTCTCGCTACTATTGTCACTGACCCTTCCTTTGAGTCCACTGCTGCGTCTGCTCTAGTTGCTGAGCTTGTTGACTTTGCTGCCGCTTGTCGTCTAGACTACGCCGCTAGCCTTGTTGCTGAGTCTGAGTCTGTCTGTCCTCCGTCCGTCGGGGGTGAGTGTGCTCTTGGCACGGACGTCCTTGAGGACAGACAGGAGGAGTTTGGGTGCTTTGCTGCTGCTTTACCTCATCTCGTGTCCATGCTGATTGCCCCTGGGGGAGACCCGGATGCACCAGACATCCCGACCCCACGCTCTTACGCAGAGGCGATGGAGGGTCCCTACTCCTCTCAGTGGCAGACAGCCATGGACGCAGAGATGGCTTCCTGGAAGTCCACATGCACCTACGTCGACGAGGTTCCCCCACCTGGGGCGAACATCGTCAGTGGCATGTGGATTTTCAGAGTGAAGCGGCCACCGGGTTCTCCGCCTGTCTTCAAGGTGCGGTACGTTGCACGAGGCTTCAGTCAGCGAGAGGGAGTTGACTTCTTCCAGAACTTCTCCCCGACCCCGAAGATGACCACTCTTCGGGTTCTGCTGCACGTCGCCGCTCAGCGTGACTACGAGCTTCACTCTCTTGACTTCAGCACTGCGTTCCTACAGGGCAGCCTGCACGAGGAGATCTGGCTGCGCCGCCCACCTGGCTTCACTGGGTCGTTCCCTCCTGGTACCCAGTGGAGCCTCCGGCGGCCAGTCTACGGTCTCCGCCAGGCACCCCGTGAGTGGCACGACACACTGAGGACTACTCTTGCTGCTCTTGGGTTTGCTCCTTCCACTGCTGACCCGTCGCTGTTTCTACGCACCGACACCACTCTGCCGCCGTTCTACGTTCTAGTGTACGTAGACGACCTGGTCTTTGCTACTACTGACACTGAGGCACTCGCCCACGTGAAGTCGGAGCTGCAGAAGAGACACACGTGCACAGACCTGGGTGAGCTGACAAGCTATCTTGGCTTGCGGATCACCCGGGACAGAGCACAGCGCACCATCACCTTGACTCAGTCACACATGGTGCAGCAGGTCCTTCAGCGCTTCCGCTTCACGTACTCCTCGCCTCAGCCCACTCCTCTGCCTACCGGTCACTCGCTCTCAGCTCTGCCTTCGGATGAGTCCGTAGAGCCGAGTGGCCCGTATCCAGAGCTTGTGGGCTGCCTCATGTACCTGATGACCTGCACTCGACCTGACCTTGCATACCCTCTTAGCATCTTAGCACGCTATGTCGCTCCTGGCCGTCACCGGAAGGAGCACATGGATGCCGCTAAGAGAGTGTTGCGCTACTTGTGCAGTACGTCGGGCATGGGGCTTGTGCTTGGAGGACGGAGAGACGTTGTCCTCACTGGGCACTCAGACGCTTCTTGGGCTGACGACCAGGCTACGCAGCGGTCGTCTCAGGGTTACACCTTCAGTCTTGGCTGTGGTTCAGTTTCTTGGCGTTCTACTCGCTCGTCTTCAGTTCTCAGCTCCAGTTGTGAGGCTGAGATCTACGCCACAGCCATGGCTGCACAGGAGTTACGCTGGCTCACCTACCTGCTGACCGACCTGGGAGAGCGGCCTCGTTCTCCTCCAGTGCTGTACGTCGACAACAAGGCAGCCCTTGCCTTGTGTCAGGAGCACAGACTGGAGCACAGAACGAAGCACATCGCTCTGCGCTACTTCCTTGCTCGAGAGCTGCAGCAGCGTGGTCAGC